CAATGCACACATTCAGCGACACACAGGAGCTCTTTCCAGCTGGGCACCGTTTCATTCACAACACCTGTCCCATCAACCAGGAATCAGAATCAGAAATACTTTAATAATCCCAGGGAGAAATTACTTTCGTTACATGACTCCATCTGTAATAGAGTGACTATAAGACCAATTTGATATAACACAATTTCATACAATATATATAATTAGGGGGTCCCTGCTCCATCTCGCCATCAGTTTTGGGGTCCTTGGCCTGGAAAAAGTTGCAGACCCCTGCTTTAGATGGCAAGTACCATAACAGTGCTATCAGTATGAAAAATTTGGTTTTAGTAATTAGTTAGATTACTTTTTAAGTTAAAAACTAATGCAGACACAAAAATATTATCTAGCGCTGTTACTCTAAGCAATGTGTTGAATTAAGATGACCTTAACCAAGTCAGCAGCTGCATTTCCATTAAAAGAAAACTATGATATAGGAAATTTAGCTAATTTTGATAATGCACATTTTTTCTATTGTTGTATTTTTCTATTAAATAAGAAGTACAACTAAAATTGCAAGTGAATATCTTTGTTCACGCGATAACTCCTCAAACCAACATGGGAGTGTCGTATGTGAACACCTGGGATATATCCATATTTCATCAATGGCCCAGAGCTCATCCTGCTCATTGTTGTGAACAAATTTTCAATCTGAAAAACTAACAAAGAAAGAAAAGACAATTAAAAAAAATGTAAACAATTAAGTTTTGCCACCCAAAACCTGGCAAGAAAAAAAAACCCGAAAGGTGGTTTAAAAATTTGAAATAAGAAAAAAAAAGGAAGATTTCCCCCCAAGCCCGAAAACTGGTGGATTGGAGATAGAGGAAGTTGGTCCATAGACTAAGTTCATAAACTGCTGGTCGGCGAGACAGTATGCTGAGCTTTATTGGGGTTATCCAATAGACTGCGTGAGCTGATACTAGAGATTCACTCAGGGACCTGGAAGACTGAAGTCCAGTTTGGATAACACAGGTTGAGAGAACCTGACCATGATGAGCTAGCATGAAACGACTGTGAAGAGGAAAAACTCCCCATGGGAAGAAACCTCTGGCAGAACCAGGCTCAACATGGCCGTGTTCTGCCGGACCAGTTGAAATGAGACGCGGAATGCATTAAGGAATGAAACTCTGATGAAGCTGTAGCTACAATGGTGGAGGCGGGGATGAGGTGGGTTGAATCTGGGTCATTTGAATCAAAGTCAGACATAGCACGTCCCCTGCCTGTGCTTTGGGTAAGAGACTGAGATGTGGATTGCAGGACTTTTATGATGATTGGGCTTTTGTGGAGGCGTGGTTTAAAGCTGATTATGTTGTGTCTTGTGTCGGAGGCAGATGAAGGCGAATAATCAGTTTATTCAGTTGAACTTCCGCCTAGGCTCCATGTTAAAAAAATTTCCTAATGAATCCACATCATCTCCAACTACGTCCGGTCTTCATTCTCTTTTTACAAGGCATTAAAGAGTTGCAGATCACATGACACCGCACTGAAGAATAAAATGTTTTCATTGAAAGTTATAGAGTTCTTTTTTAATTGCAGTCTTTCCATTTAGCAAATTTATTTTCATAAATACAATATGCGCAATCTGGCGCTTAATGGAAACGCATGTAGGGAGGCGTTTGCAGCTTCTAGGTCTCCTCCTGGATGAATCGTTGAGCAGCTCTTGGGGTAATGTTGGTAGGTTTTCCTCTCCATTGCTCCATAGTTTGTCCGCTGGTACTAAATGGTTCTTCTCATGTCAGTTTCTTTATGTTTCTGAAACCCCTCCAGACTGTTAGATGCCGTAAAATCACAACACGATGAGCTGCTTTCTAAGATCTCTTCTGTTATTAGAACGCATTTAGAGCAACAGGTTAATTTTTCTTGATAAGATATAGTTCCAGCATAAACACAATTAATCAAACCGCTTTTGGCGTTTATTTAATCATATTTAGTTACTTTAACAGAACTGTTTGATGTCCTACCCTGCTAACATGAAACGATAATGTCAAAGTAACTAAATATGATTAAGTAAATGCCATAAAAGGTTGCATTATTTTTTTACTGTATCGCTTGAAAAATGCTTTTTGTAAATACTTCAGTTTATGTTTCACAGAGCCATCTGGAAGAGGATTAGGGCTACTGAAAACATTTAAAAAGTTAACTGATTTTTAAATATTTCTGTTTAATATGGGAGAAAAGTCAGAATTCTGACTTTAATCTCAGAATTTTGGATCTTACTGTAATGTAGATGGGTATCATGAAGGGAGAGATGTGGGAGCGCTCAGCTTCACTGACAAAGATGTGAGTTGTTTGAAAGGGCCAGTAACAGATTGGTGGAAAATGACGTCATAAGGTGACTTTTTACATGCCAGAGGGGTCCCCGTTATTCTATTTCTTTAATGGACGAGCAGGAGGTGACTAAGACAAGAGAGCTACTGTAGTCTCTAAAACAGACATGGCTAGGGCTTGATGCTAACATGTTTCTTAGCTGTCAGAATTCAGTCAGAATTTTGAGATTACAGTCAGAATTTTGAGAT